GACAAACTTTAAAACACGTTCTCTAGTGATACCTGCAAAAGTATTCAGTATAATTTCCGGTAAGATTTTCGCTGACAATCTGATCGATTTCTCTTACATTGTGTGCCGAGACTGAAACTTTTAGCCTCAAGCAAATCTCCGTCGCACGGTCCAAACAAACATAGCGAGCAGCTGAGCTAGTAGTATATGTCCGTGTTAAAACACACGAAAGGACTCTAAAGCACACTTCACTCTGATTGGGCAGAAAAACACAAAGATTTTCTGGCACCAATCAGATGGCAGAACGACTGCGACCGTTTGGAACTTGTCTTGTAAGACAATGTCGCCAGGGGCTCTTCACGCCCTAACTTGAAATCGACTCAGCCCTTGGGTCTCCGAGGATGTGACTGAACATAACTTGATGGTTATTCTCAACAGTTGTGAGCCAATGATAACTTAAAGAAAATTCACGTGAGAATTTACATGATCTGCACGTGTGTCAAGCACGTGTAGTGCAAATAGCTAAGTCGTGTCTCGATATTACCTAAGTTCCACTTATGGAACTGCAAAAAAAAATAACAATTAAAAAGAATACGCACGAACGTCACTATATCGTGATTGATTTTAGTTGTGCATCTGATTGGTTGAGAGAGCAGCGCGAGTTTTCTTAACCAATCACAGAGCGAAATAAGGCAAAAACAAAGCAATCCCAGATAACTTTCGTTAACTACCTTTGTGATGCAAAACGGACATAACCTTTGTAAATGTGTCGTATGAAATAGTGATTTTTTTTAAGTGGGACTAAACGTGATTTAAAGGGGAGTAAGTTTCTAAAGAAACTGTGGTGCTGCGTCGGTGGGGGTAACATGGTAATTTGGTTCTACCAACTGAGTTGATAACGTAAACTGGCCACCGTAAAGATTTTCAAAGCTGACGTTTCGAGCGTTAGCCCTTCGTCCGAGCGAACTTGGTTTAGTTTTGTACTCAGTCCCAAGCTTATTTAGTCGGAGATGTGTCAAGTGGGAATTTGTGATAGTCATCTTCCGTTATGAATACATATTAATTAAGATAAAAAGTTGTTTTTAGCAAGCTAAGACTTTTCATCTCAACAATAACTATGAATGAATTCACATGTTGTGTTTTTGCTGTCGTTTCACTTCGAAAAAAAAAACTGGCGGGGAAAAATTTCCGTTCATGATAGCAAACTGTGATAAGATGTACCTCAGCCAGATTGTTAGATATACTAGCTAAAATATATCAAGAGGAATACATTATTAATTGTGGTCACCTGTTTCTGATTATCGACATTAGGAAACCATTTGCATCGAAAATATACTTTCGTTAGAAATCTTTCTCCAGCGAACGTTGACAACGATGGAAAGAGTATTTCTGAAATAATACGAAAGTAAGCGCAAAGGCAAGAAAAATTCTATCGCAATAAGCCATTTTCCTGGACGCTATCCGCAAAGATACTATACAGAAAAATGAAAATCGAGGTTATGAAAATTTTAATATTTGTGGTTGCAACTGTCAACCTCTCACGGAGTTTCCGGCGCTTCTGTACCTAATGTAATACATATATGTATGATTCTAAAGCACTTTCCTGAAACCTTTATTACGAAAATTGCCAACTGAGTGCTAGCAAATAAGAAACAGTTCAAATTTGAGACTTGAAATTTTCTTAAGAAAAAAAAATTGGTTACAAAAACTCAAACGTTCGTGTAAATCAATAGTGACAGACAGACAAATGACTGTATTTGACCTGTCTCGCCTTTGATGGTGCGGTAACACATTAAATGCCGTGGATAATTGGCACAAATTAGATTTGCTTCAAAAAGACTTTTTGGATGCTGAGAACGCCGCTAACAACACGTAATGCGTTTTATTTCTTCCTATGAATTTATTAGGAAATCTTTCTAGACTGATTATTAAGAATGGTTCTTTTCAAGGGATTTGCTTATCCTGTCCATCGTCAATTGTGAAGTGAATAGGATTTCAAGTAGCTGACAATTTGCGAATGACGACTTTTTTTGACGAAAATTCCGTGAGTTCCCTCGCGGTTATTTGTTGAAGGAAAAAACACCTTCTTTCATCGAGTCATGTTCTACCGCGGTGGCAGGAAAAATATTAATGCCATCAGTAAACAAAAACGACAACAAGTCGCGAATTTCGTAATATATTTTAATCTGATAATCAGATTGTTTTTATTAATTTCTCTTACAAGGAAAGCTTACCGTAGCTAGTCATGTTTTAATAGGGAAATGAATGGCAAATTTTAGATCAGAAAAGTCATCACTTAACACTCCTCCTTTTGAATGCTCTTTCAGGTGAGAAAAGCAGACAAAATCACGAGGAGACATGGCAAACTACACGAACTCTTCGAATGTGACTGACCCCTTGCAGACTGCTCCCTCATTGCGGCCAGCGTTTCAACCGGATGATTGGAATCGATCCTTTACGATGTTCGTGGTTATAGCCGAGATTATCATAGCTGTCGTATCACTAGTTAGCAACTTTCTCGTCGTGTACGCTTTTGTTGCCTACAAAAAACTTCGGACGAGTGTCACGAACTATTTTGTAATATCATTGGCCGTGTCAGACATCTTAACCTCAGGACTGGTCACTACATTCACAGCGGACATTTCCATGAATCCCCGTTGGACGCATGGCTTATTCATGTGCAATCTCTATACAACAATGTTTTTACTGGCCTTACCGAGCTCTGTAATCAATTTGTGCGCAGTCACTGTGGATAGATACCTCGTCCTAAGGATGCCACTCCGTTACACGTCCCTTATGCCGCCAAGAAGAGCTGTTTTCATCATCTGTTGTTTGTGGATTTACGCTATAACGTGGTCTTGTCTGCCTGTTTTGGGCTGGCACGCTCCAACTCCCGGAGGATCTGTGATATATAACGGCCATTGTTACCATACGTCCACAAGTTTATACAATAATTTGGTAAATATTATAAACTTCTTACTTCCCATGGTTTTTATGGCAATATTCTGGGTCTTTATTTATTCCATAGTTCACAAGCATCGCAAAAGAGTTCTGAAGATAGAGAGAAGTCTCTCGCTTAACACCAACGAATCGTCGAATTCCAGCAACAACATGAACGGAGAAGTCCATCCAATGACTCAACTCACGGCGCGAAATGAAAAAACGGAGAAAAAACGATTGCAGCGTAATGTTCGCGGATCTCGTTTCATTGGCTTTATTGTTATACTGTTTTATTTCTGCTGGCTTCCGTACGTCAGCTTAAGCTTCATAGCCAACATCTGTAGACCATGCCAGGCCCACATTCCGTATTTTCTCTACGAGGCTTTTCTAGCGCTTGGTTTCCTCAACTCAGCCCTCAATCCATTTCTGTACCCGTTCCACGATAAACATTTTAAAGCAGCGTTTAGAGACATGTGGAAAAAATTGAGAAGCAAGGCTTTTGTAAGGTTATTTCCATCACAGGGCAAAGGCGTAGTTTTTATCTAGAGCGTTGATGGACGTTCTATGGATCAACACCAACAGTTATTACGAACTCTGAAGAAAGTGCTCGGTTGTGCGAACAAAGGCGATCTGTCTTAGAACGCATATTATAAGAATTGCTACGGAATGGTTGAACGAGCAATAAGATAAATTATTTACTTGTGTCTAGCAAAGTAGCTAATATAAAAGGAAAAAAAACCTTATTGTTGGAGACGCAAAGGAATGAGTCCTATTCTCTTCTCCAGTCCCCTCGCAACTGGTCTCGTGCACTTTCAGAAACCAAAACTGCAATCTTTACACTAAAAATACACTATAATTTTAAGTGAATCTGTTATACATATGTAAACTCAGTTGCAGTCTGTTCAACGTTCATCGAGAAATTTAGTCATTGTGTATACGACATTTAGAGGCCTACTACAAAACAGTTCTGTGGGATTGCTAGTGAAAAAAAAAATCTCCACGTAAGTACTGTCAAGGTATTATCAAACACAGACGTAATGCCATTTGGTGCATGTTAATCAGTCTGTCGATAAATTGTTCATATTTGTGCCCATTCTAGAATAAGTTTTCCCAGTATCTGATGCTTGATAACCACAGATTTTCTTTGAAATTTCATACGAGTTCCTGAAATGTCCGATACAGATTGTTTCGTGGAAGCATTACACAGAAGTAAATCCAACTTAATGAAACTTTGATCACTGCGATATGAGATCGCTTTTTTTTCTTCAGTAAGTCAACCATCGGCTGTGTACTAATTAGCCTGGTTCATCCAAGCTCTCCCTAATAAGTAACAAAAATGACAATATAATCCACCATGGTCATATTAATATGTAAGTGAAAAATCCGTCCATGGTAATAGATGAGCGTGACAGGAGTGTTTATTCTACATGTATATTGATGTTTATTAAAAACTGGATCATTGGATAATGCAATTCAAGACTTTTTATTGGCTTAGCCATTATGGTATATGAGCCAATATACCATAATCTACAAATATGGTAAGGGTACGCGTCAGCTTAAAATCAAAAGGGAGCTAAAAAATCCAGTTTCTTCTTACAAAATAATAATTTCTTGGGGGCGTTTTATAGAAACAATTATTCCACGAGCGCTCGTCGAATAATCGTTAAATATATTGATGTATATATATATACATATACAAATGAATGTTTTATTGAAACGTATTGCTCTTAAAGAATAAGCTTAGGTTTGCGCGCATTGCAGACCATACG